ACAATCAATCCATTCCGACGCATCATTCAGGTATATTCTATCCTAATCATATTAATTCAACAGAAGAAGACTGAGATCAACTCAAATCTTAAACACTCAATTTTAGCTTGTTTATTCCATATGGGCAAAGGCCCTATTTATAGGCTCAAAGGAGCCGAGTACAATAATTGAGTTGCAATCGTTTGATTGCAATATGACAAACATATTTACAATATAGCCCCCTAGACTATTGAGGGACTAACACTTTATGTTACATCACAATAATACAATAGACATACAATAATTATAAAAGACAAAACCTAAATAATTACAACTCCTTTCTATATTGAAAGGCCACATGTCTTCAATAATGTGTCTATTGGCTTCTTATGTAATTGCTTACGTCATTCCTCCCGCCTCCGAAAAGACATGTTTTTTGAATAATGTTTGCTTGTGTCATGGCTGACGTTAATCTTTCATGAATGGTGCCTCTTTCATAATTGAGTAGGAATGTTTTTAACTGTTTCTCTATGATGGCTTCCATTCTCTTGTCAATGTGTCTGCTATATGATTGTTGGCGCTTTTGATATACTTGAGATATGGATGAAATTGATGTAATTGTAATTGCCACCGGATCAATCGTCCTCGACAGTAATCTTCTTGTAACTTATACCGCCAAAAGCCAAGTAGATACTTGGAATCTGTGCGTAATTCGAATCTGGTTTGAAGTAGCTCGACTTTCCATTTTTTCAATGTTCTGAGACATGCTGGTGTTTCTCGTTCATGTGTGCTGTAATTTTGCTCCGTTTGGGAAAATGTTCCCGATATATACTTGCATAGTTTTTGCTCGTATTTATCTGTTTTTAATACTTCAGATGATACATCTGTATCAATGTATGCTTTTGGTGATATTTTCATATCACTGTATGCTTTTGGTGATATTTTCATATCACTGTATACTTTATCATTGTTTACTTCAGATGGTATTTTCATACCAGTGTGTGCTTTATCATTGTATACTTTTGATGAGTTAGATATGAGGTTTCCCTCACTATCTAATCCCAATAATACTTTTCCTCGTATAATGCTTTTAGGCATCCTGCCCAAGTGTCTTGTGATGCATCTGTTTCTACGATTAAGAAATCATCTATTTTTGCATTATATAGAGTAGGGAGAACTTGAATGTTTTGTTTTATATTTTGTACTAAAATAGTATCTGTATTGGTCCAAGACCAAGGTATTTTTTCTGATATTTTCTTTTGTAAAACTTTTCTTTCTTTTGCTAAATTTTTTAAAAATCCTTGTTCTGCAATATAATTTAAACAACCAAGAAATCGTTGTATTTGTTTTCTATTTTCAAGTTTATTAGGAAACATATTTAATTTTTCTCGTATATTGTCTGTTAACGATAATTGACCATTTTCTCCAATTTTTAAACCGAGATATTCAACTGTAGTTTGAAAAAGTTTTGATTTCTTTTTTGATAAAACTAAACCCTTTTCTTTAATTCTTTGTAAAACCTTGATAACTGCATCAATGTGTGTTTGTTCGTTTCCTTTTGTAAAAACAATTATATCATCAATATATGCAAGACAAATATGATCTAAACCATTTAAGGTTTCATCCATGAATCGCTGATATATTGTTGGTGTCTGTTTTAAACCGAATGGAAGAACATTTCATTCATAATGCTTCTGAGGAGGACATGAAAAAGCGGTTAGTGGTTTCGTATTTTCATGTAAGCGTAATTGCCAATATCCGGATTTTGCATCAAATGTACTAAAATGTGTATTTCCTTTTATTTTTTCTAAAATATATTCTTTTCGTGGTAATTTATATGAGTCTCCTATAGTAGCATCATTCATTTTTTTATAATTGATTACCATTCTTCGTTTGCCTCGTTTTATTTCATTATTATTTTCTACATAAAATGCAGGTGCTGAATGAGGACTCTTGCTAGGTCGAATGATTCCTTTTTCTAATAGTTCAATGCATTCCGGTGCCAATGGCCCTTTGGTTTTTGTCCTTCAACTGTTAACTTAAACTCAGTTTCCCTAATTTATCCTACCTATTTAATGTTATTAAATTCAAATATTTTAACAAAACAGTCTTTTTCATTAGTCGAAGTCAAAGCCTTAGGCTTACAAGGATAATGCTCATTGTTTCTGGGCAATTTCTTCATTAGAACTTTCAGTTTCACTATTCCAATAGTCAACTTCAATCGAACTTTCATATACAAAAACTGATATACACATATATAGGCATATATACACACCTAACACCTATATATTCACATCAAAACCCTCAAAACTCTTCAGTTTCGAGAATTTGCAACTGTTTTCAGTAAAAAATGGGAGGCAAGAATTCAAGAGAAACATCACCAAGAATAAGAACAGACTCCGGTCATACATGGTCAACGAGTGTTACTTCCACACCAAGGCATCACCATGCTCATCCAGCTCCTTTTGGTTACGGGCCACCACCGGCTCAAAGAAGGTTGGATAGAAAGTATTCAACAATAGCCGATGACTACGAGACGCTTGAACAGGTTACTTATAACTAATATTATATATTTCAAGAAATAATCATTGATTTGTGATTAAATTCTGAGAAAAATAAAAATATTCGCTATTTTCAAGGTTACTTCGGCTCTTGCTCAAGCAGGCCTCGAGTCATCGAATCTTATTGTTGGCATCGATTTCACCAAAAGCAATGAGTGGACAGGTTAGTCACATAAATTATAAAAAAGGTTTGTAGATCCAATCCAGTTTCGTTGGATATATCTAATTTGGTGGTAGATGATTCAAATAATTATAATGACATTGACTCATACTTTAATATATATATATATATATATATATATATATATATATATATATATATATATATATATATATATATCATTAGGGACAAAATCGTTCAATAGACGAAGCTTGCATAACATCGGAGTGGTGCAAAATCCGTATGAGCAAGCAATATCAATCATCGGGAAAACACTTTCGGCTTTTGATGAGGATAACTTGATCCCATGCTTTGGGTTTGGAGATGGTGCATAATTCTTCTTAGTTCTAACAAGCAAGATATTTCATAAGATTAGTTGTCAGAATTTATCAGATTAATATGTTTTTGTTATTCTAAACGTGTTTTGTAGCCTCGACACACGATCAAAGTGTATTCAGTTTCTATTCGGATTCGAGTTTTTGTTTAGGATTTGAGGATGTATTGAAACGATATAGAGAAATTGCTCCTCAACTTCGACTTTCTGGTAAATCATTTTTTTGCAACCTTTTTTGTCGATATCAATGTTTCATCTTAGATTCCTTGACCCCATATTTGTCACAAAAACAAACTTTTAATGCATTAAAACTGTTTTCATTTCAGGACCTACATCTTTTGCACCTATAATAGAAATGGCCATGACAATTGTTGAAGCAAGTGGTGGCCAATACCATGTTTTGTTGATTATTGCCGACGGCCAGGTAACATGTCACACACGTTGCAATCGTCAAGAGAAACCATAAAACTGTCGCTAACTGTTTTGTTTTTCTTTAGGTAACAAGAAGTGTTGATACCGAGTTCGGTCAACTCAGTTCACAAGAACGAAAAACAATAGATGCCATTGTAAAAGCAAGGTAAAACTCAACATTTTGAAACTTATCAATAGCCAGCCGAATAATTTAAAAAAAAAATTATTATCGCAAGATAAACTTGTAAAATTCCTGAAAGATTATGAAATATCTTTGATTATTTGTTGCAGTACGTACCCATTGTCAATAATATTGGTAGGGGTTGGAGATGGCCCATGGGACATGATGAAGGAATTCGATGACAACATACCTTCTCGAGCCTTTGACAATTTGCAGGTTTGCAACAAAACTGTCACAAAAGATTGCATATATCATTTTATTGTTGCATATATATAACCGATTTTTCTTGTTTCTTGCTAGTTTGTGAATTTCACAAACATTATGTCGAAAAATGTGGATCCAATGAGAAAACAGACAGAATTCGCGTTAACTGCATTGATGGAAATACCTTCACAATATAAAGCAACCCTCGAGCTCAATTTACTCGGGTAATTCCAATTATTTGTTGGCATCGATTTTCACAAAAACAAAATGAAAAATTAAATATTTATATGGTTTGACAATTTGTGAATAGTGCCCGGACTGGTTATTCTCCAAACACTGTTCCTCTTCCACCGCCTTGCGGTGGCAATTTGCAGTTCAGGAATCGAAGCGCCCGGCAGCATCGTGTAAATGAGACAGCACCTCCGTCGTATGATAATAGGGTAAGTAAACATTGAACTGAAATTTATTAATTTATAAAAGAGATGATATTTATAAAATTTAAATTATAAAATTATGTTGATTTTTTGGTCCTTTTCAGGTGTGCCCTGTGTGCCTTAGTAACCCCAAAGACATGGCATTCGGTTGTGGGCATCAGGTCAGCTTGCTTACTTACACAAAGTCTTTAGTGCCCAAAATATAGAAAAAAAAACAAAGCATTTTCATCATTGATTTGGCATCTTAAAATACTTTTATAGTGTTCTTATTATACACTATCTTCTATTGATAGACATGTTGCAACTGTGGAATCGATCTTCAGTTATGCCCAATTTGCCGGGATGTAATCAACACCAAAATAAGGTTGTATCAATAGCCTCAACTCAACAACATAATCTTATTAAGTGTGATTGATTGTGTTTGACATCGTGTCATGATTTTTGCCATTCGTTTATTGAGTCTCCATTGTGAAGCAAGTCAAGTCATTTTGAATGTATTTTGTATTTATCATGTACAATCGCTTGTAACATAATCAATTTTCTATTTTGTATTTTGATTGATCCTCAAGTAAACATGAACCACAATAAATAAATAATTTCAAGTAAGGTGGGGATGGATTCTTCATACAAATGTGTGTTTTGTAACGTTTATGGGATTACAGAATCCACCCAAATCCATATCGAACAAAACCGTAACCAAAATTGATTTAATAAAAATATGGCACAACAAAATTAGAAAAAAAAAAAAACCCAAATGTTGACAAGTATGGTGAGACTCAACAAGGGCAGAAGCGTCATTTTGACAGTTGCAATTGGTGTACCACAACACCATGTCGAGCAGCAGGGAGAGACCCCCATCGACCCAATCGGGGTTCCTGTGTAATAAAATGTCATCACCAAATATTAGTGACAAATATTTAAAATAATCATTTTTAAGAAAAAGTTAAAAACATAAAAGGTCAAAATTAACCTTGCCAACTCCAGCAACCAAAAAGTTCCCTGATTTTGCAAATGCCAAAGAATTTACGTATCCAACCTATTAGAAAAAATGTGAAACAGACAACAGTTATTGCATAAATGCAAATTTAACCCTAACCTAAAAGTAAAAAAAATAAATAAAAACTTACCAATGGAAGCTCATAAAGTGGGCGAACACCTTTGGCATCACTTTCAATTTCCCACAGACGAACAACACCATTACCAGCTCCTGATGCTGCAAGATCACTCCCTCTACATACACTTACTGAACTAACCCATGAATTTACTGATGAGCAAACCTTTTCACCCAAATCATCTGAGAAAAAACAAAACATAAATCATTATTTTTTGTAATCAAAATGTCAACGATCCAAGATTTTATTTTACCTTTATCACCATTTGGTAAATCATCATCATCATCATCATCATCGGGCTTACTTGGAATCATCAAAGAAGGGTGTGCATTTTTAACAATATGTAGAGGCTTTTTTCTCAATACACTCCAATGCTCAATACTACCATCATCTGAACCCGATAAAAATTCATCATTATTTATAAAACAACAGCACTCCAATGATGATGCAGAAGCCCTAAACACTAGTTGTGACTCCTCAGGAACCTGTATTCACATATCAACACCATGTCTGTTAGGTTAAATGCAAGAAAAAAGTTTGTGCAGATTATCAAAGTACAATACCTTCCATAAGTGCATGGTGCGATCACGGGCAACAGTCAGCAGGCGTTCTTTTCTTAAGCAATCAATAGTTAAAACATCGCTTTGATGACCAAATAATGTAGTTATGTAAGATCTGTCTTCTGCATTCCATATCTTGATTGTTCTATCATATGAACCAGAAAACAGCTCTGAAGTCCCTTGTCTGAATGTCAAACAGGAGACAGGTCCTTTATGCCCTGGAAAAGCCTGTGAAAAAATCCACAGGTTTAAAAGAATGAACAGAGAAACAACACAAGAAATCAACTTCATTTTGGAAGCAAGTTAGCTTTGGAGTTTGGAAGCAGCACCTGAATATGCTCTCTTGTCCGTGTATCCCATAGATGAACATGTCGATCAAAGCCTCCACTTGCTAAATACCTTCCATCAGAGCTCACAGCAAGAGCTAGAACATGTTTGCTACGTTTTTTAGCTCGACCTTGTGGATCTTTTGCACCATGTGACTTCAATACTTCTTCACTAGGCCAAGCATATGCTTCTGTTTTCCCACTATCAACATCCCACTGGACAATATATCCATCCTTTGAAGCTGAAAAGCCTTTGGAATCGTCTTCTGATAAGACCACGGAAGTTACAGACTGTCTGTGCTTCACTAAAACCCGAAATCCGTCTGTTGTTCCTGGTTTTTGAACCCTTTATCAAATCAAAGATGATTGAATTTAGTCCTAAAGTTTGAAATTGATTGTGGATTGTGATGCATTGTTATAGTTTGATGTTATGATTGTTTTCTGATCTTCAATCAGAAGAACTAATTAGAGTCATGAAATTCATGTTTGGATTCTAGAGAAGATATGTATGTACCTTGAAGCAATCAATTTACGAACACGGCCACTGTCTTCGAGTTGTTGCGCCTGCAACATACGTGCAACGCGAGAATCCCTGTCTCCATCCTCTTTACCACCTCTTTCATCCACCTCATCATCTTCGTCCTCCTCTTTTCTCAACGAAGCCCTCATCTTCTCCAAAAACGCATCAGCTAATCTCTTCCGTTTCTCAACCGCGTTCTCATCTTCAAACATCTCATTTCCCTCAGCGTCATCCTCCACCGCCGCCGCCACGTCTCTGTCTTCATAATCATCAGAATCACTACTCTTAATGCTGTCTTCATCATTATCGTGTACAATTTTTTTTCGGCGCTTCGAATCACCGTCGAAGAACGGGTCTGGCTTGTCGGATTTAGTCCGCTTGCTTCTGTGACCATTTTGACTGTTGTTATTGTTTTTGAACTTTTTACTTTTCATCATGATTAATGGTTAGAAGAAGAAAGAACAGAACCTCGGATTCTTGAACAAGAAACGGAGGTTGCTGTTAAGGGTTTATGGTTTAAAAATTAGGGTTTATTATTCGTGCCTAGACAACCTGAAGGAGAAGACAAAATGATAGAGAAGGCGGTGATTCAATTGGGCCATTATACAGTTTATTTCCTTGGGCTAATATTTATACGAAATTAATACTTGATCATAAATCTGGGCTCTAGGCAGCCTCTAGCCTCATTTAACCTAATTTGGCTTAACTTTTGGTTGTCCGTAACCGGAATATCGATAAAATTTGTTATTAAAATACCGTTTAATTTTGGAAATTTAAATAATAATAAGGTTACTTTGCAGGAGCATTAATTAATGTCAATCAACTTTATAAAGGTTTTTATCGCCAAATATCATTCTTACATTAACTTTGACACACGTAATTTTTTGGTATTTTTGAATAAATATTTTTTCATTTGTCATTTTCTTATTTTTTCATCTTTTTCTTAATTAACAAATCAAATTTACACATCAATTAATAATTCTTTTAATTATAAATAGTCAATAAATTACAGTATTAGTACTTATATATTGTATTTAATATGTTTCCTTTTAAATTCAAATTTTAAATTTCAAATCTAAAATTTCAAATTTAAATAAGTTTTTGTTTAAACCTTCAGATATTTTCTTTTTGTTTTACGCAACCTGTATAAGATACGGGTCTCACAACTAGTTATATATAAATTTAACAGATTCTTGAACAATGTTTATAACAATAAACAAAAAAGTAAATGTCATTTTAGCCCAACGAACTCTTCATTTTTTGGTTTAAAAGGTCCCTAATGTTATTTTTTGGTACTATAGAGACATAAAGTCCATGTTGACCTGTTAAGAGAGTATTAATATTTTTTTCTGGTTTTACAGTTAAAAAAAGTGAAGTGGCTCTCTCTCTCTCTCTCTCTCTCTCTCTCTCTCTCTCTCTCTCTCTCTCTCTCTCTCTCTCTCTCTCTCTCTCTCTCTCTCTCTCTCTCTCTCCATTGTAGGCCACACTCCCACTTTGTCTTCTTCAGAAAATTCTGAGTTTTCAAGACCTCAACAACATTAAGCATGTATGTTCTCCTCCGACCACCCCGCCATCTCTATCGCCAACCATCACAATCTCCCCCGGTACCACCATCTGCATTTTCCAATTACTTCTTCGTTTTTCACCCCCACCATAATCTTTCTAACCCTTTTGACTCTTCCAGAAATCTATTTCTCCTTCCCTTTTTGATCATCTCGTTCCTCACCTCTAAATCATCTTTTCATTCATATTCAATGGACAAAATTGCAAAAATGGTCCTCGTGGTATGCATTTTTTGGGGGTTTTAGTCCAAACCTCGACTTTTTTGGCTTCGTGGTTCTTTTGACCATGTTTGCTTGTGATTTTGGTCTCTTGAAAAACTGAAAAGACTAAAATGCCCTTTCTGATATACTTTTTATGTTTTTCCATTTTAATTTAAAGGAAAAAGAAAATAATTAATTAATTTGGACCCACTTTTCTCTCTCTCTCTCATATAATTTGGGCCCATACCCTTTTTACCTGATCGTCTTCTTCATCAAAACATATACACACTAAGATTAAAAGACACACACACTGGTAGCGACTGATGATTCCTCAAACTCCGGCGAATCCTTCTTCTCCGGCGACAGTGAGGCCACAAACTCCTCAGGTGCGAGTCGAAGAGGTAGGAGTGTGGTGTTCCGTGGTGGTTCAATGATGATGCTGCTCACGGAGGTTCCATATGCTCCCACTACCCCAACACAAACAACATCGACCCTCTTCAGTCTCCTCTACTGTTGTCATCTTCAATGTGGTTGTTTCACATGTTCCCGATCTGCCATCCAATCTGCCATTGTTTGTGGTTACCAATCTAGTTTATCCTTCATTTTGGTGCCCCCAACTGCAGATGAAAACTCCGATCTGGTTATGATATGGTTTCTCCGTCATCGAATCGTCAGCCACCATAGGTTATGTGAGGAAGAGGGTGCAGGGATTTCGGTGAACCAAGAACAAAACACACATACATACACCCATTGTCTTTTCCAAACAATCCCAATCTTTTAAATCACGAGTCTCCTTCATCGACTTCTTAAAATCCCCATAAGGATTCTCATATTCCAAGTATCAAACTTGTGGGATCAAGTTCAAAAAACAACCGTTCAGACTTACCTCACATACAACCGTTTCCTTCTACATGCTGGAAGATTATGATGAGTTCGTGAAGGATTTTGGCGAGGCTGTTGCCGACAATTCCGGTGACTCCGAGGATTATGGAAACGCTATGGTATTTGGGCCTCATCGAGCGTTTTCTGAGTAAGGTATGCAGACCTTTGCAGGGAAGACAAGATAAGGAGGTATGCAGATCTTCGTTAAGACCCTTACAGGGAAGACAATCACCTTGGAGGTTGAGAGCTCTGACACCATTGATAACGTTAAAACTAAAATTCAAGATAAGGAGGGGATTCCACCTGATCAACAGATGTTGATCTTTGCAGGGAAGCAATTGGAAGATATGCGAACTTTGGTTGATTATAACATCCAGAAGGAGTCCAATTTGCACCTTGTTCTTCGTCTTCGTGGTGGTGATCTCCGTAAGTTGAACTAGATAGCTCAGTTAGTGTTCTTTTGATATAGGTTTTGTCTGATTTTAGTGGGATACTATAATAGAACGATTTTACCCTGTTTTCGATGCTTGATGTGTTTGGTGTTTATTATCTGATCTTCTATACATGAATGTTGTTGAGTTACTAAGTATTTTCGTGTTATAATTTTAACAGGTGAGGGAGAAAGACAAAGTTAGGTATATGTGTATGTTTATGAGTGAGAGAGAGAGAGAGGTGGGATCTTCTTATTTTTTAATTATTAAAATAAATAAATTAGTATTAGATTTAAAAATAAATGAAAGAAAAATGAAAAATAAATACCCGAAGGGTATTACAGTCATTTCACTATTCGGAGGGACCAAAAACGCAATGAAACTAGCTCAAAAGGACCATCAATCCAAAAAAGTCGAGGTTTGGACTAAAATCCCAAAAAATTGCATACCACAGGGACCATTTTTGCAATTTTGTCTATTCAATGCAATTTCTTAGCACCCATTTATTAGGTGAAGATTCCACATAGAAAACCATATATTGAAAATAAAAAAGATAGATGATAAACTGAATGCAAATTTCAGCTTCGATTGTCAAAATCAAAATGATTCCTTTTACCAATGGTTGCAACATTGGTAAAAATGGAAGAGGAGAAAAAAAAAGGACTTCCCTAGTTTGTGTACTCATCGGAAACCCACAAAAATGTAACAGAATGTGAGAATGTGTTGTGTGGCTGTCATAGTTTGAAGATAGTGAAAAGGTTCGTATTTTACCCAAATAAAAACATAATTTTCACACCGAATGTATTGATATATCGTTTCATAGCAACTCAACTCCCTCGTTTTGTTGGTCGTTGGTGGAGTTTACTGAATCAAAAATGACCATATCAGTTGAACATGAAATCTCCAATGGTTATCGTCGTCGAGTCAATGATTAAGGTCACCGCAAACAGATTAGTACCACTGAAGAGGATAATAAGCTTGAGTAGAAATTCTCTAGCATTTTTTTCGTCATCTATCTTTAATTGTATTTCAAAGTTGAATTTTATGTTTTTCTTTTAATCCAATCCAACTTCTTTTGGTAGCATGTTCATGTTATGAATTGTTGTTGATGATGATGGTAGGAAATGGTTTTCCAATCATATGATCATCGAGATGTCAAAGGAAATGGTTCTGATGAATTGTAGTAGTCGTATGAGGGGAAAAAACTGCACACTAGGTGTTTGATTATTTGTCAATAAGAGAATAAGAGTGATGACGTGGTATATATTGTGTTATTCACTGGTATACTTGTACAAGATCACTTGTATGATGCGCTTGTATAGTACAAGGTATTATTCACTTGTACAGTACAAGATCTGATGCATTTTTGTGGGTTGAATGATTCACAGTACAAGGATAAACGATAAGCTTAGGAACAAAGTTTTAAACAACAGTGGCATCCAACTAGGCAGCCACATCATTGATAAGTAATCAGCTAAATCTAAGAAAATGAGTATGTGGCAGTGGTAATCGAATATAATAGGTAATGGTGACCGAATAAGAAGCCCTTTTCATGTTCAGTCCTTTCTAGTTGAATCCAAGTCTCCAAACTACAGATCCAATCCCCTAGGGTGTAGTTACCACGTAAAGTTGCCAACTTTACGTGCATGCAAGGCCTTAAGAGGCTAAAACACTCAAAACTAAGCTTAGGAAGAGGTTTAGGGCATGGAGAAGGGCCAAGACTAGATAAAGTCGACAACTTTATGTCCATGGAGCCTAGAGGAGTCCAGATTTGAGACCATGTCCTCATGACAAGCTCAAACCCGAGATTGACTCCATTTTGCACTAGAAATGACCATATTCTTGCATAAGGGAAAATCTAAGAAATGAAAAGCCAAGGTAAAGACTTTTTACCTCCAAAAAAGGTTGCTAACACAGAGTAGATGTCGGATCTACTGCCTCTCCCTTTGATCCAACCTCTTCAAGCTCCAAATTCCTTCACAACCACACCAAAATCACTCTCCAAGGCTCTCACACACACTCAAGAAGGTGTAAAGCTCGAACTAGGCTTTCTATGGGCTGTAAAGACGATGAGGGAGGCCACAATGAAACATAAGTTCATTAAATAGTGGTACAAATCCCTGAAAATTAGGGTTTTCCTTTACAGTGTCTACTCGTCGAGTTGGGGCCTTCCAACTCGTCGAGTAGACCCTGAGTCCCACGTCCAAAACGATCTCTACTCGACGAGTTAGAGCTCCCCAACTCGTCGAGTCCCAGTCCAAAACCCTAAAATCTTGAAAAATAACTGATACCTGAAACGGGCGTTACAAATCTCCCCCACTTGAACTAGACTTCGTCCCTGAAGTCCTCAGATGCAAACAGATCAGGGTAATGCTCCCGCATTTCATCCTCCGGCTCCCATGTTGTGACAACCCGAAATTTTCATTTGTATAAACTCTACAGTCAAGCACTACAAATAGTAGCCAAAT